TGCCCCATGACTGGCGGACTTGATTTTGAGCACACTCCATAAATTATGACGACTAGGGCCGGAAAGTGACTTGGCTAGAGCGGTCCTTTCAACCAAAATCATCGATAATCATATCGATGGTTATTACGCCGAATCGGCTCGATATGCCGGCTCTGCTAGAGTTGTTGTTACTATTCTACTAGTTGTACCTGGCAAAATTCGGTTTGGTGAGTGGCATTTGATACACTTGCCTTCATGGCCCTCAGTGACTGTTTCTAATCCATGGCAGTAGTAACCAACAGTGGTGGTGACTGGTGAGAGAAACATCAAGCATCCAAAAATAATGCTGCCATAACCATCGTACTACTACCTCTAATAAATTATTGACGTGAGGCTGAAGATTCATAAATGGGTTGGCCCAAGGTCATCGTCCCATGCATTCAATTCCTTCCATGTGCATGCATGGCCCGGCCGCATGCGGCGGTCCATGGGTTTTGGCCGCGCGGCGGCCGCAGTTTTCACTTTTCACAAGGGAAAAAGCAAATGTGGTCGATCTCCATTAGCAAAAGTACTTCCTCCGTCTTATAATATAAGATGTTTTTTGACATTAGTATAAGATAAAGGGAGTAATAGATAAATGGTAACATGTTAACAATCAATCTGTTTGCTCTCCACCTACCCCACTACGACGTGCAGAGTGCTCCAGTCCGTGGCATGCCGATCGTGGTGAAACAAAACACACGGCAATGCGATGAGCTGCTATCTCGGAGCACTGCCATGGTGAACCAAATGCCAGCCACCGGATAATGATGATCAGCGAATCCACCGGTAACGCGTGAAAGAAGCCATCGCACTTGTATGACCCTGACGCTGACACGCGAGCGAGCGAGCAAAAATCAAGACGACGCCACGCCATGCATCAGGAATGGAGCGACGGGTCACAGGCGAGGCGCGCCAAAGGGACGAGGAGGAGGACGAGGCGGCGGTGCCGGTGGCGGGCCACGGGTGCGCAAGGCGGCGTCGTCGTCGTCTTCCGGGCTCTGGACGCGGGGGGCGGTCCACGCGGTTCCACTGGCTGGCTTCCCGGGTGGGCGGCGGCACGGCAGGCACGGCGGAATCACCACCGACACCCCTTGCATTTACGTACTCCAACAGTCCAACTGACAGCAGGAGGGGACTAGCTAGTCGGCGCTACCGTGTTTACGACCTGTAGCGGCTTGGCGTTTCTCGTGTGCCGCTCTTGGTATAGCCGTATAGGACCGGCCATCCGTGATTCAGTGCCCGCCGTTCCTGTTACGACATGTGCAGGAGATGTGACCTGCCTGGATGAACTCGTTTGGAGGCTCCTCGCCTCTGTCCCTGTCCTTTGGGAAAGCGAGTGGTTTCCAGGAAAATGCACCAGAGCTCCTGGGTGCTTCACCCCTCTGTATGAATATCTCAAATTCAAAAAATATTAGAAAAAAAGGAATATTGGGATATCTAACCTGGGTGCCTAATCTACTCTTGTGTGAAGTTTCGTGAAAAAATACCAAGCAATGTATCCGTGACGAAGAAAGTACAGTTTGACCTACTGTTCACCCAAACTGTTCTTTTTATACATAGGAACTTTTTGTCCATTTTACTGAGAGTACCACAAATGTTATTTTTTTTTCAACGATGCGTCAAAAGAGTGACGCATCAAAAGCATAGATAGAAGGGCCCAAGATGGGCGAAGGGTTTGTTACAAGCCACGGCTTACACAGCCAAGAGTATCCACATGCGGATCACTCGCCACTATCCAACCTATCTACCAAACAAGGGAGAGAGCCCAGTTCCCGAAGCAAGCCGGCAGCCCTCCAATCCTGACCCTCTAGCTTAATCCTCCTAAGCACGGCGTCCGCCGATGGCGAAGCCCCATTGAACACGATGTCGTTCCTGTGCTTCCACAACATCCAAGCCACAAGGGTCACCACCGTCCATGTCTCCTTCCTAAGTTGTTTCTATGGGCTGAGGGAAGTCCACCATCTCACCAAGGTCGCGTCCACCGCTGGCATCCAGGAAGGCATGCCCCAAGCATTGGTGATGCTGGTCCACACCTGCCGAGCTAGCACACATCCAAACAGTAAGTGGTCGATCGTTTCCTGAGCTTGATCACAGAAGGGGCATGCCGAAGGGTGAGGAAGCTGCCTTCTTTGCAATCTATCCGTCGTCCAACACCTATTCCTTGCCGCCGGCCAGACGAAGAACTTGCAGGAATTCGGAGCTCTTGATTTCCAAATCTGGATGGCACCGTCCGACTCTATCATGCCTGCAAAGGATGCCCTATAGGCCGATCTAACAGTGAACTGGCCTGAGCTCTCCCAAGCCCAGTGGATCCTGTCTTCCGTGCCTTGCGTGAGGACCACGTCCTGCATCCTGTCGACTAGCGCAATGAACTCGAGCAATGCTTGCGCTGACATGTCGGGTGAAATATCGTGCCACCAGCCCTCCGTCATGGCCTGTCGGACTGTTTTCAGACGGGCAGGTCTTCTCACTAAGGCGTAGAGGTTGGGCATCAAGTCCTCGAGCCTTCCATCCCACAGCCACCAATCAGTCCAGAAGCGTGCAGATTCACCGTCACCAAGAGTGCATCTCGTGGCTGCCTTATATAAGCCCAAGGAGTCATGAGAAACTTGCATGTTGAAATCGGCCCAAGGCCTGAGGGGGCCAGTTCGTTGGAGCCACGGCCATCTGGCGCGTAGGGCCGCGTTCATCAGCCTTAGGTTGGGCACCCCGAGGCCCCCAAGATCCTTAGGCGCGCACACCCGATCCCAGGCCACCAAACAATGCCCACCATGCACATCTCGACGCCCCTTCCACAGGAATCCACAGCAGATCTTGTTGGCCACAGTGATCGTCTTAACCGGCAGGTCAATCACCATCATAGCATGAATCGGCATAGAGGCCAACGTAGTGCGCAGAAGCTCTAATCGTCCCGCGCGGAAGAGGAGCCTAGCCTGCCAGGCAGGCAGCCGATCGGCCATCTTATCGATCAGGTATTGTAACGGGGCCGCCGAAACCTTGCACAAACCAAGCGGGAGCCCAAGATACTTGCAGGGCCAGCTCAGGACCTGGCACTCCAACTCGGTGGCAATCTGCAGAATTTGCACCTCCGAGCATCTTATGGGGTGAGCGGAACTTTTGATCAGGTTCGTGCGTAGCCCAGACGCCATCCCGAAGTCACGTAGCGGCATGGAACATGCCCTGAGGCTTTGCAGGTCCGACTTGATGAAAGTGACCACATCGTCGGCGTAGATGGAGGTGCGTTGCCGGAATCCAGTGGCCGCAAGGGGATGCAGAACACCCTCTGTCGTGGCCGAACCCAGCAGGTGGTGAAGCGTCTCCATGACGAGGACGAACAAGAGAGGCGAGACCGGGTCTCCTTGCCGCGGGCCTTGCCGGTTGAAGATGATATCCCCAGGTACACCGTTCAGCAGAACTCTAGTTGAGGAGGAGGCGAGCAGGCCTGCAATCCACGAAATCCACTTGGCGCCAAAGCCCATATGTCGCAGGACATCCATCAGGAAAGCCCAATCCACTGTGTCGAAGGCTTTAGTAATATCGAGCTTCAGCATCACCGCTTCTTTCTTAGCAGCATGCAGTTTTCTAGCCATTCCTTGCACCATCATAAAGTTATCATGGAGCCATCTTCCACAAATGTTATTTTTTCATGGAACTTCGCATGGGGGTAGATTGGGCACCCAGGTTTGATATCCCGAAATCCTAGTTTTTTTTTGAATTTAATGTTTATAGGGGGATGTAGCACCTAGGAGCCAAAAATCTGCGTCCGGGGTTTCCATACGTGATGGATGCTCATATATTCGTATAGCATGATGCAACAGGAGCCGGATCCTCTAACTTAGAGAAGGAAAGTCACGGTGCTATAATGCTCATCTAGTGTAAAATGAAGAAGGAATGTTACGGACTATTAGCAGGTTATTTACTTTTGTAATTACTGTATATATAAAAAATCAAAATTTATTTTATCTCACCATCAACTTGTTTGTATGTAATTACTATGAATGTGTATACTAGATCTATAATTTAAAAATTAATGTAAGTTATTTTAGCTTTAATTGTATGGATTAACAAAAGAAAAGTTAGGACAATGTAGCTTCCCTAACATCCTTTGTGTATGTTAGAGGATCCGGTTCCAACAAGATCTCGAAGGGATTACAGGAATGCGCATGAAACAGCTGATGGCTGAGACGACTAGCTATTCTTTTGTAAGGTGTAACTGGTTGGTCTTACCACCAAAGACATGTTTTAAATTTGTTTCAAGGGTAGCACAATTTGTTTCTTCATGAGCTGAAACGTTTCTTTTACGCAAACTGAAAATTGTTGTTTGCCTTTGACATCGCACTTGAGCACACAATATTTATGTAGTAGTAGTACATAATTCTCATGGATATCACACAAGACATGGTTGGATAATTCTCATGGATAGTACATAATTCTCCCAAGACATGGTTGGATAATTCTCATGGATATTTGAATTACGATCATCCAAGAGTGCATTCACCTTTCTTGTTGTATTTGTTTGGCATGCATCCTTGTCATGGGAGTCGAATAGATCCTTGTAGAAGCTTCATTTCTTAGCTATGATTCATCACAAGGAGGTGATAAACAAGGTGAACCTAGAATCCCCTTAGTGCCCTCCGAGTACGTACATCGTACATGCTTGTTGGATTTCCACACACTACTACAGCCCTAGTTCATGCCCACTGCCCAGCCTCCTCTGCTCTACCAACATTTTCATATTTAGACAGGATGTTTTTTCACAACAACCAATCAACATCTTGCGTCGGAGCGGCAAGATAACACAGCACGAAAACAGGGCAGTCGGAAAATAGCATCGAGCTTACAACAGCAGATGATAAAAACAGCTTTTAACACAACACGATTGTTCGCGCGACTGACTTACCAGCAATCATCGGTTTCAGACAAATGGTTACAAATGCAAACTACGGCGCTAATTTCCCCTCCCCTGGCAATAGACTGATCTACTTCATCCCAAAAGAGAACGACAGCTTTGGTCGCGACTTGTTCTTGCCCAGCAGCTTAATCTGGTTCTGCTTCTGCTGCTGCTCCTCCATTTGCTTCTGCTTCATGGCTTCCTCCCTCTCCTTCTGAAGCCTCTCCAGCTCCTGGTACCGCTCCAGCTCTTTCTGCTGCTGCTCCATGGCTACCTTCATCTGAGCCTCCTCTGCTTTGTTTCGCTCCTCTTCGAGCTTCTTCTCTAGCTCTTCTCGCTCTTTCTTCTCACGTTCCTGCGGCAATGACAAACATAAGCTTTCATGAGGTTATTCTAAAAATAAGCTCCCATGAGTTATGACAAGCAGTGCTGCAACAAGAACTAAAGAATCATGCAAAGGTGCACAATATGAGCCAGCAGAAAACATGACAGCGGCAAAGAGCTTAGGGCCTCTCCAATGTGAATAAGCCCGGGCATTAGGCCCTTGAGTTCGACCTTAGTAGATTAAGCATTGTGAGAGTAGACCTTAGTCAGAAAATTGCTGGGGTCGCCCATAGCGGCGTGACCAGCCCACTCTCAACATGATGCATAAAGTAATAGAAATGGTTACGAATGCAAACTACAGTTCTAATTTCCCTTGGGCAATCGACTCTACTTCATCCCAAGAGCACATGTATGAAGGGATGAGTGGTTGGATGAAAGAAAAAAGGAAACTGGCATGTGGGCCCCAGCCTAAGGCCCAAATAGTCCTTAAACATCATAAGGGCATGGCCAACGGGCCATGCTGGACAGGTGCCCCAGGCGCCACGTCGTCCTGCTGAACGCCACCTCGGCCGAACATGCTGCTTGAAGAGAGAAACGGACTCCTGCAGAAGAGCTCGCCTCCTCTCTGACAAAAGCAACGAGGCAGACGCTCGGGCAAGGTTGTGTAAGCTTCGTAGCTCTGCTCGCTTCAGGACCACGGCTTGGAGGTTGCATGCGTTGAAAAGTGGGTGAGAGAGAAAAAGAAAGATGACGACATCAAGAAAGTAGCCTCCGTTGGGTGATTGTGGCACCATAGCTTCATTCAAATTTATCTAGGCGGAAGAGGTGAGGCAGCAGGAAGGTGACGCTTCCTTAGTACATGCCCTAAGATTCTATTTTGCTATAGCATGTCAGATGGGCCCCATATTAAGGCCGGTTTATGATCTAAGGACTGGAGATGCCCTTACCGCTCTCCGTTGGGCTTCAACCAAGGCAGACACCTTCTCTTTCTCAATTTGGGCAACTACCTCCTCATGTATCCTTTTTCGCCCTTCATCAATTCGACGCTGTATTTCATGTTTGATTTCCTCAGAATTCAAACTATCCTCAACTTGTTTCCTAATAGCTTGCTCAACTCTTTTTGTAGTTTCCTCCTCTAATAGCCTTAGTTCAACTTCTTTTTGACGCCTGCAATTGTGAGAAAAAGTTAATGAGGTGTACTTTGCAAAAGAAAATATTGACAGATGCCAACACTCAAATCAAATATCTAAGGGCACAAAAGCAAGGGGCGGATTTAGAATCTTTAACACTATCTATCATCGACTATACCTCTCATCAGCATAGTGTTGAATACAGACTAATGCATTTTAGGCATACCTCTATTATGATTCCAGATCCAAAAAATGAATTAGCAAAACTGGTCAAGAGTAGATAAAGGATCACCAATTGCATCATCAAATATAACAAGTGGAACTATAGCAGTATCTTCCTTCAGAAAAGCCTGTAGAGAAGAATGTCAAGAGTAACTTGTGGCAGATTTAGAGCTAATCATGTAAGCATCTCAATATTCCAACTAAATCATATTTCTGCATGCATCTGAGGGAATATCAAACGAATCATGCATTAAACTTTTTTACCAATTCAATTGCTTATTGTGACTCGTTAGTGCAAGGAACAAAAAGACGTTAGCACGCTTTTCAATTGACAGGTGACAGACAAAAAAACTGGAACAACACCATGGTAATGGTGCATATTTAAAATTCTGCTACTTGGGTTTCATTCCCGTCAATAGGTTACATGTCAGTGCAGTGAACAAATTAATCCATATTCAACAGCCAGAACATTAATCTATATTGAGCAACAAGAACAAATTCTGCTACTCTGAATTTTACATGAAGCCAAAAAACACATCAAAACTAAGCTAAAAGAAAGGAACACCACAAAATTGGAACCGAGCAAGTAGCTACGACCACAAATAACACATTTCTCTTCCTAAATTATATCTGGCACTTTCAGTTGAATAAGCATAAGAACATGAGAGCTGCAAGTAAGCCTCAGGTAACCTGACTAAATAAACTATGATCAAGAGCACATACTAATTACCAAGATAAGACAGAAAATGAACGCCTGGTGATAGTAGAATGCTTACAAGTAGGCAACTAATTTCATTTCCCACTAAGTGTTATTAATTCAACATAGTTCAATGCACACTGCAAACATAAACATATTTTACTTTTTCGGAGCTACTAGCTTCCAACTAAAGCGGTTAAGCGGCAGTTTTGATTTTTTGAGACAGCTCGACACTCCCACAGTGTGGTGGTTACGCAATCGTTATATCTACCAGGGGGGGGGGGGGATAAGTGTACTAGCAAAAACGAGTTTTGGATGTGCCTTCATTTCATAAGCAAAGCAACCCAGATAAGAAACAATTATCAAATTAACATTCATATTTGAAAGTATTTGCATTCATTACTGTTCAATAAAAACATGATTGAGTTGCACCATGTATATTCAGAAAAAAAAACTAGAGCAAATTGCAGTGCATGTATTCAGAAGAGCGTATAATTTAGAGCACAGTTAGCCAATAGAACCTGACCTCGTGTCGTGGTGAAAACAGCAGCTAGATGAATACAGTACAATAGCACTATGAAATGTTCGTTAATGACTAGCTTGTCAACATCGTGAAAGAGGTATGGCAAAGAGAGAGTAGACAATTTGGTTTGTACATGGCATAGTCTAGATTCTAAATAGCAAAGCAGATACTCCCCACCTTTTCTTTTCTTCTTCTAGCCTTTGCTTATCAACGACATTCTTATTCTCTGTAGATCCGAGATGGGGACTCGATTTGGCAACTGGAGAACCAGTGACACTCGGACTTCTCTTTCTTTTGTAATGGATTTTCGATGGGGATGGACTCCTGCGCCTCCTGGGAGAGGAAGGTGAAGGGCTCTTCCTTCTGCAATATAAAGGTTGCCATTGTGAGGACAAAATAAGAGCATGATAAGATAACATAAAACAGGTAATCACCGTCAGTTATAGAAGCCCTAAAAAGTAAGCGGAAGCAGTTACCTCAAACATCGTTAGAACTTTGGAGGATTCCACAGCAATACAGCATAGAGTAAAAATCTTTGTAGGTTCCATGCTTTTAACCGAAGGAACTCTTGTCACTTGTCAGTCTATACAGGCAAGCAACGTAGACTCGTAGAGTACCAGTGAGGCGGTAACTATGTTCAAGCATCATCTGCTCATATGTTCCAAGCTGCTTCCATATGTGTTCCTTGTTCAGCATTTTTTCTTGCTTTGGATGTAAATGGATGCAACTGATTTTAGTGGTTCCTATATCATATTAGAAGATCGATAACAGAAGAAACTCCACACTTAACCACCAATTGCCCACATTCCCCCTTTTCGGGCCTCTTTTGGCCTCTGCAGTGTGTTCACCTAAAGATGTCCAAGAAGACAGTGTGCCCTGGTAAGGCATATGGCATTCATCCATTGCCATCTCAATCAGTGGCGAATCTAGGACGTGAATGAAGGGTGGCTAAACTAGACCAATATTGTTAACTGCAGGTGAGGTGGGGGCTTAAAACAAAGTGGACGAGCAGCCATGAAGTCCAAAAAAGTATCTCACTGGTCAGGTTTACCGAAGAGAATCTAGCAGCCTGCATGACTGCTCATCCAAACCAGCATGAGGTATCGTCATTAGCGTTTCTTTTTAGGCTGGACTGCCCACTAAACCAGTACGAGACTTGGTGTTTAGACAAAAGAAAGATCAGCAAATCATTTACTTGATCTCTGTGTTTTCCAGAGTGTCACCAATGGCTGGTGCAAACGGAAGTGTTGTTGGCTTGTTGCACGATCCAAACTAGGAGAAACCCCAGCTAACCATGTAAGAGGGCAAGCGTGCACCAAAGGCATGTAACACTACCTTGCTCTCCCCCCCAGTCTAACCTCATGGTATGGTGAAAAAGGGTTACAAACACTTCTGAATAGACACGAATATTCCGTTCATGGATAAACCTTGTTTCAGATATTTTCTTCTTCCAAACAGGGTCTGAGTAGTACAGTGAACATAACCAAGCAACTTTTATACAAGCCATGTTAAATTTGGTGTAAGACAGGAATGCCATTATCTAGTAATCTGAATTGCTCCTCACCAACGTGAATGTTACATACATCATAGAACAATCACACATTCACATGAGCTAACTAAGAATCACTTACTGACCAACTTCCACTGGTCCAAACAACCATGAGGAGACCCAAAATAATCATTCATTCCATTTAGCAAGTTTGCATTCAAAATACAGTTAACATAATAACAACAAAATAAAGAGGAAAAATAATCAGCGGATTCGCATCCCCTCGTATCTTCCCTACTCTTTATATACTGCACATATATACATGACACACAGACACGGCGAAGATGCTGAAAAAGTAAAGGCGCGCCAGATCGCGGTCGCGTGTGACAGGGGAGATCACCTATAGGAGGAGCGATAAGGGGACCTGCTGCGGCTGGGCACGCGCTCCCTGTAGCCCGGTCCGCGGCGAAGCGGGGACGGCGACGGCCGGCGCCGGCGCGGCGGCGACCTTGACAGGTCGCGCGGCATCCGGCTGGAAGCTAAAGCCACTGCGGTGGCCGGCACGAGCAGATCTGGCCGGACGCGGGGAGATCGGGGACGGACGTCTGAACGTTGGGCGCCGATCTATGTGTAGACGGGGGATTTTGGGGGCGGCGCGCGGGCATCAATGGCGACGGCGGCCGGCTGGAAAAAAGTGGGAGGCCGACGAAGAGATGAGGAAAATATAGGGTGGGACCCAGCCACCAGCTGCTGCTGCTTTGGTGGAACGGGCCAAGCTTTCTGGGCTGAAAACAAAACTTCCATTATCCATCCCATGAGACTCCCACGGCGATTAGGGATTCTGGACCGTCCAATCGAAACTCCCATGCGATACTGACCGTCTGATCTCGGGTCGATTTGATGTGAACCGTTTGATCTTCACGGCGATCGACCTCAGCCGTTGGATGAAATTCCAATTGCAACAAAGTTTCAATTCCAATTCCATCTGCGCGAGACAACGAGGAAGACGACCCGATGTGGGCTGCTACGATTCACCGCGCGAGACACCCAACAACTACCTCCAGGCCAATTCCGGACCCCTTTAGTGCTCCTCGTTGTTGTGCGCAGACACACCTGCGAATCCCCAACTCGCGGGTCATCACGTCGACCGCTCCCGCCCTGACCTAGGGTTCGATGGGCGAGCTCGCTGCCATCCGCCTCAGTGGCGCACCAGTTGTGCACTGATGAGGACATGAATGCACCGAGGAGGAGCTCTCCGCTGGGAGGATGCTCCATGCCTAGACGGGAGAAACACATGTCATCGTTGTTTCGTCAGGAGAAGAGCCGCGTCACCATCAGCCAGCCATCCTCCCTCGCTGGTCATTCTAGGTTTCTCACTTAGATGTCAACTCGATTTCCTCTTATTTTGTAGATTGAAAGTGGCCCCTTTTCACTAGCAAGAAATTGTTATGTTGTTCTACAATGGTCATAGACATTTAGATAACCTTATGGTTGAAGTTCTAAACTTTAACTGTGCCACTAGAAAAATTATTCTTTGCTGATTCTATTGCATACATATTCTGGTTTGGGTGACTAAGAATCGTGCTCGTCTTTACCATTAGTTAGCCGAGGTATATAATGAATACATGATCTATTTTCATATTACACGTTTGTAGAATTGAATACGTGATTTGTTTTAGTTTGCAGATTTGTAAGCACATTCTTTTGTTGGGCTTCTTAGATATATCGTTCAGTCTCATGTAATCAACTTCTAACATTTGTACTATTAACTACACTTCTGTAGGTTCATGAAAGTTCCTTGGAATGTCAAACCGAAGGCCCATATTCATCTTTCTCTCGGCTAGCAGCAACAAACCAGCGCTTCAAATGGTTATACTGTTTCTACTACTAAAATCTATAGATTCGCCGCTCCACCTGGTTACGTCAGTTCAACCATCGACATCTTTGCACTACAGGAGCATTTCATTTGGCTACGGAGTTGTGGAGTCTGATTTAGGAGCTGCTCCATTTGATATATGCATGTGGAACAACAAAGACCGTTAAACCCAAACACGGTCTCTTTGAAATCAGTGGAGAGAAACACCGTGCAAGGGAGCATTCAAACAGTGTTGCATTGCAACACGCGGGACCATGGATGGTTCTGCTACAAAAATCTTAAAGCCCGATGATCAGGTATGTTTGCACATTATGTTCTGTTTGTTATTTCGGGTTACTTCCATCTGCTTTATCCAACATCAATATTTGTTTTGAAAGTGCCGCAAGTCATTTTCCATGCTTATTTTATGCTCCCTCATATTAATATTCTGTGGCCACGTTTGATGGTTGCAATAACAATGAAATTCTACAAAAACTTTTGATGGTTGTAATGTCACTTGGGAGTTGAGACAACTTATTTCACAAAATGTATACCTTACTTTTTGTTTCCCCTCTAGACATCGAATACTTGAGGGTGTTATGCTATTCTATTGTATAAATTTGCACATATGTGATGCCAATAAGATTAATTATTTATTTTGTATCTAGTTGTTCAGATGATAGAAGAGTACATGTCATGCCACCAATATTAGGCATTATATAGCGACATAATATACTATTCCTTGATGATAAGTTTTTGTTCAAAACTCTTTGTTGTTTGGAATTGTCTGGACTGTCTCCGAGATTCAGGGAGGGAGAAGAAGTAAAGTTGTGGTTTATAACGGTAAAAAAGTGAGCAAAGCCATGAGGATCCTATTTGATATACGTATGCTCCCGTTGCAACACATGGACAATTACCTAGTCATAGACAAAGAATAGAACATGTGATTGTATCTGATCATCACTAGCTTACACAATAATAACTTCTCACCTAATCCTCCCCACCTTTGAGTACGCAAGCAACAAAAGTACATCATATGATTCATATAAGATCCATCAAATTTGTGAATGTTCCTTGAAATCCAAGTATAATTTTCAAATTGATCAACATTTTTTTAAATCTAGCAACACCTTTCAAACCTTGAACATTTTATAAAATACGGGATCAATTTTATAATTCATGATCGTTTTTAATATCCAGGAACATTTTCTAAATTTGTGCATATTTTTTGCATTTCAGATATTGGGAGTCTGAGATTTGTTTCCAAATTCATGAACATTTTTGTAATCTGAAATATTTTTTGAAACATCCAATTTTTTGCATTTCAGATATTGGAAGTTTGAGATTTGTTTCCAAGTTCTTTGGGAAGTGGGTACATTTTTTCATCAACATTTTTTCAAATCAGAAATTTTTTAAAAAAGGAAAACAAAAACAGAATGAATAAAGGAAAAAAAACAAAGGAGAAAGACGGGGGCGCCTCGCGCGCAATGTGCTATATGCCACCCGCAGCGTCGCCTGCAAGCAGTCGCTGCTTGGCTGGCCCAGTGACCCGGCTGCTGACCTCACACTGATGCTTCCAAAGTTTTCACTTTTTGATTCGTTTTCCATTTATTCTTAACTATTATTTTTATTCAGAAATATTACAAATAACGCTTTAGATAAAATTTATAAAAATGTTGAACATCCATTTGAACATTGATAAACATGTGTAGAAAAATATTAACCATGTTTAAAAATATGTTTGTGAGATTCAAAAAATGTCACATGCTTAAAATATTTTACATGCCTTTTTAAACAATGTTTATACAATATACATAAATGCTTGCGTAATTCAAAGAAAATCTTGCTTAGATTCAAAAAATATATGTTACAATTTAGAAAAATGTTCATGAGTTTCAAAACTGTTTTCGGACATTGTTAAACAATATTGTGTGTAAATGTAAATAAAATGTTTGCATACTGCCAGAATTTTTTTTGCACCATTTAATAACCTGGGAGTGAAATTTTAAAGAAAATTTCGGCGATTAAAAAAATATTCGTGGCATTTTAGAAAATATTTTCCAATTTTAAAATGTTCCCGTAGTTCAAATAAATGTTTAGAACCATTGAAAAATGCATAACATGTATTTTACAAAAGTGTTGCCGTGTCTTCAAAAATGTGTTCAGAAAGCATGCATTTCTAAAAATGTACATCATGTGTAACATGTAGGTTAAGGGAATTCTTAGTGCCATTAAAAATGTATAACGAGGATTTTATAATATATTTAAAAAGAATGTACATCATGTATTTAAAAAAAATCCAAAAGTGTATTATAAATGTTTCATGTGCGCTCTAAAATGTTCATTGTGTACTGAGAAAAGGGAAAACATGCGTGAAAAAACCCCGACAAAGAAACATAAAAAAACAAAATCCCAAAGAAAATAAAGTCAAGAAGAATGAAACAAAAGAAAACTACTATAGGCTATGTTCTATGATCCAGTTCGCACCGGTTTTAGAACCTTTGGTGCTGTGGTTTTTTTTTTCTATTTCATATCTATGTTTAAATATAAATCAAATACATGTCAAATTTTCTCAATGCACGTTGTATATTTTTCATATCACACGTAAAATATTATTTATACATGTTGAATATATTTTTAATACTTGATGAACATTTTTTTGAAATTACATGTCTGAATATTGTTTTTGAAAAAAAAAGTAAGTTATGTTTAAGATACACGCTAAACTTTTTTCTGGCTGGTAAGAAATATTTTTAAGAAAATTACATGATCCTTTTGTACATTATATTAACATTTTTGAGAGAAATGTCACGAATATATTTTTTGAACGTGTGAACATTTTTCAAAATGTCATGTACATGTGTTGAATGATAAGAAACATTTTTATTAGCTTTCGAAGATATATTTTTATATTATATAAACATTTTAGAAAAATACAGACATTTTCAGAAACACGTGAATACTTTTTAAATGTCACAAACTTTTATATGGAATAGTACAAACCTTTTTAGAAGCTGCATGAATATTGTTTAGCACAGTATGAAAAAAAAAATTAGGCTCGTCACGAAGGTTGACGACAGTTTTGTACGAACTGAAACCGGTGAGAGAACGTTTGGTCATAAATCGTGAGGTGTACACCGTTGGCCTACTCCCGGAGTTGCAATTGCCGATAATCATAGACAAAACGATGAAGAAACAGTATCTATCTGATCGCCGCTTGCTTATCACACAACACTAATAACACCCCACCTAATCCTCCCCCCATCCTTTGAGTACGCAAGCAGCAAAAGGACAATCATCCTCGTCGTCACCTCCAAGCTCTCCTCTTCCATTCAGTTGGGCCAACGCATGCATGCATCATCTTCATGTGGTTGCTCCCCAACTCCATTATCACCACCACCAGACGCCGAGCTGGCTGAGTAGCTGACCACACTCTACCTAGCTTGATCGTCACTACCCGCTCGTTCCGAAGCGCGAGGTCACGAATTTTTCTCTTCTTTTACCCAACTTTCTTGCTAAAAGGACGGTTCTGGTGTAAAAGAAGAAGAAAGGAACTGTAATACATTGACTTGAGCAAAAAGTTTCACTTCTATTCTTGCTAGTACATTGGGTTCCACATCAGGCTGATTGTTCTCAGACCGAACGATACTTACCTAGTGGTCGGACATTCTAG